ATCAGCAACATGTTTTAAGTGGTACAGTAATGTATTGCGATATAAACTTTACGGCAAATGTATGACACGACAGAAGCGCTGGTCCGGGACGGCTGAGGCAAACATGGCCGGCAAGCATTGCGCTGCCTGACATTAAGACATTAATTTATATCACCACTTCACACGCCCACACAACGTGTCTTGTGTCAAATTGAATAACTGCGCTCACTCAAAAATATTTCACCTCTAACGGACAAGGCATTTGCAACTTCGTGTTGTAACTTAATCACATAAATAAACAACAATATATGCGCTATGTGATGACTTGAATCAAGAACCTTGAGACTCGTGCGACATAAGGGTACGCACACAGTGAGAGCAGGTTGCCAGCGTGCTGGTTACCTGCTCAGGCTGGCGCCTGAAACCATAGAATACAGAAGACTATTCGTACAGGTTTTCACTGTGAACACTTACATTATTATCCTATGTTCATTCTTGTGGCAGGTTGGAGCAGGTTGCCCGCGCGGGCAAACCTGCTTTCACTGTATGCGTACCCTTAGACATGAGCAACACGTGTTCTATTCATTCCCAGAGCTGTCTGACATCCCGAGCTAAATGAGGAATTTTTCCAAGCTTTATCTGTATTAAGGTAAACAAACCTTAACAGCTATAGTTTAAAGAACACAAATTGACTCGCTTGTTATAAAGGTCCCGTCCACACTCAGAGCAGCACCGTTAAGAGGTGAAGAACAGGTTCTCCCACAACATATGGTCATAAGTAAGTATTATACACTGCATTTCATACCTCAATAAATAGAATAAACATTTAATTAACCAACTATAGTTAAATGGCTATTCGGATAAAATTTATCACACATACAAACAGAAATTGGTTTCACGTTACATTTGGAAGAATCTGCAATAAACTATATTTCTTATTGAAAAGCATGCAATTTTATATTATAGGAATAATAACTATAGCTCGATTGCAAGTGTTACAAATGGCATTTTGGCCAATGTTTTGCCAAAGTAATGAAAGAAACGATAGCAGTGTTAGCTTAACTACTTCGTTAATTAGAGAGCTGCGTCAGTGGGTTTCTTACATTAGCACAACTCAATTAAGCGTTACTAACTCATTGCTGGAAACTAAATTTTAACAATAAATACAACCAGAATGCTCGTCAAGTGCAGAGCCACCATCGTTAAATATGTTATGACATGACATGACACAACTACTAGCAATAGAGAAGTTATTTAAATCTACCTATCGTCAAGTACGGCGATCTCTGTGACACGTCAAGGAGACACAGCAGCAACCTTCTAGGAAACACTGTAGCATTTTCCTTTTATACACTGTAGCATTTTACTTTTATACACTGTAGCACTCTCCCTTTATACACCTTAGCACTCTCCTTTTATACACTGTAGCACTCTCCTTTTACACACTGTAGCACTCTCCTTTTACACACTGTAGCACTCTCCTTTTATACACTGTAGCACTCTCCTTTTATACACTGTAGCACTCTCCTTTTATACACTGTAGCACTCTCCTTTTATACACTGTTGCACTCTCCGAGGAAACAGTCATTTTCATTAAACAGAAACATTGGAACTCTTTAGGAAACACCATGACACTCTTCCATATACTCAGTGACAAACTTCTAGGGAGACTCTGAGCAATATTTTAGAAGAAACTGAGCACAATTTTAGGATACAATGTAGCACTATATTAAGAGACAACATGGCACGATCGTTAAGAAATAATACGTGACATTTTATTGCGGAGTGACCTGGCTCCAAAACATGGAGGTATCTCGAAAACAGCGACACTAGATTGAGCAGCAAATATTTTCCAATAATGGTTAGGGTTAACATTTTTAACTTAGTAGTAATACCTTAATTAACTACGTTGCAATCTTGGATAACAAATACCGTGGCACTTAATTAGTAAGCTTGGAGGTCTCTGCAATGATAGGAATTGTATTGCGCTCCTGAGAGCTTGATCGCTTCACGCGCTTGTTCAGGGAGACCAAGAAATTTATTGAAGTACGAGCCTGCAAGAGGCGGGCTACCCGCGAGTGAAACAGAACACCAGCAAACAAAACAAAAAATACAAGATCACATTAACGAGCTTGAGAACATAAACATCTCGCCGACATCGGTTGACGTCCAGCTTCGAGGTCCTGACCCTTTCGGCTTAGATGGCTATTATGAAACTTGAGAGACCATTCATCAATAATGTTTATTATCCTTATTGTAATGAGCAAATCATCCGGAAGATCCGAGTCAATAAAAGGGCGGTGATGAACTGACACACACAACAATCATCAAAGAAAAGCGAATAAGTAGCGAAGCACTGCAATGACGAAAATTAGAAAATCGTGTCATTAAAGAAATAAGAGAATATAATGAAAAATTATCAAATAATTTGTTGGCCTTTGACAAGAAATCATTTGGAAGAGTCTTGAGAGTTGCCAAAAATAACAAAAGACATAACAACATCTTGACAGACATACAAACATCGTGACATTGATGACATGTTTTGATTTTATAATGAAAGGCCTCTGGCTCTTTTTTTTTGATGGCCTATGGCTCATGCAACGCATGCGCACTTAACCCCTAACCACTCCCAGAAAAAAACGACATGTCAGGCCTCTGGCTCTTTTTGTTTGATGGCCTATGGCTCATGCAACGCATGCGCACTTAATCCCCAACCGCTCCCAGAAAAACAACATCTGCAGCAAACCAAAGTCGCGCATCCAATCTACGGACCAACAATAATTGCACCCACATCATAAAGTCCGCCCAGGGCTGCCAAACTGCAAGAGATGTAAGACTTTCTCTACTGAATTTACTTAGTTACTATAAAACACTGCAATTTATGCCTTATCTTTATAGTATCCTGCTATTGTGAGCTCGATGTTTACGTCTGCGCTGGCCCAGCTACCTAGTGTCCTATACTTTCAGGGAGGGGCTCTCTCCAAAAGCGGCTTGCCCCAAATGGGGCAAGCTTGTCCCATTTGGGGCAAGATCCCCAAGTGGGGATCCCCTCCACTGAGCATCTCTTCTCATGCCCATCCCTTCCCACAGACCTCCCCGTCTCCTTCCCTGTGGGACAGTCCTCTCCAGGCTGCGGCCTTCCTGGCCTCCCTCCCATCATCTGTCCCACTGATGGGAAGGGATGTTTGTCTCCTCTCTGTGGGACAGTCCCCTCCAGGCAGCGGCCTTCCTGGCCTCCCTCCCATCATCTGTCCCACTGATGGGAACGGATGTTTGTCTCCTCTCTGTGGGACAGTCCCCTCCAGGCAGCGGCCTTCCTGGCCTCCCTCCCATCATCTGCTCATCTCCCTCCTCTCGCGCTCGCCCCCGCGACAGCCTCCCGAGCCGTCCTCTAATCGTGCCTGAACTTCGACGCAACGAACAACAACACGTGAGAGAAGTTGTTTACATGGCTCCAGTTAGGAAGCGTCTCTCTGGTATGTACAACAGACTGTGGAAAACAACACGTGAAAGAAGTTGTTTACATGGCTCCAGTTAGGAAGCGCCACTCTGGCATGTACAGCAGACTGTGGAGAACGTTTCATGTTTCTGTGAAATTACTTTTTCACTCGTTCTCTTCCCCTGTAACTATTGGAAGACAAAGCAAATAATTTTGAAATCTTTCGCGATTCCGAAGAAAGACGAAGCAAATAATGTCGAGATCTTTCGTGACGCTGAAGAATACCCAATCTATCCCTAACTACCAATTTTTTTGGACGTAACAAACACCAAGTGGACATCGCTGTGAAACAAGCGTAATAAGTTCCATGCTATGGCGAACGCGGACAATTTGAAGAAAATATCAAGCATTGCCACGTGCACAGAAGGTAGCTTAAAGGAAACTGAGTCGGTTATTCTTGTTGCCACAGTAAGAATTACGGCGTTGATGTGGCTGGCTTGTGAGCAAGCAACTTGGATATTAAAATGAGAAACTTGAGAAGGCCTAAATAAATATAAGAAAACATTAGTGTTATACGAGAGTGTGGAGATGGGAAATAAATACTAAGAAACATCGGATATTAAATAGAAGAATGACGTTATGCAAGTCTAAAAAATAAAGTAGATAAACGCAATAGAGCCTGCCGAGAGCAATGAGAGGCGAGCATTGATGTGCATAGTTTCAACGGGAGCTGCATGACGTCGTTTGGTATCCTTCGTTAATTATCCGTAAACAAACAAACTTCTTTCATAATGAACATTAGCACATTTGCCATGATGAACACATATATAGTTGAGTTGAAGGAGATATGCGATGATGGCTGAGACGAGGTACAGATCAGGGGCCATACTTTTAAAACTGGCTAAGTGAACGAACGTAAGTACTGACGCTCCCTTGCAACATTCAAGAGACGACTGGACAAGTGGTTGAGAAAGATCCCGGACTGTCCAGTAATGGGAAACTACCCTCAGCAAGTGACAAGCAACAGCATCTTGCATCAGCTGGCCCAAATGAGGGCAAATAGACGGAACACGTCCAACGTTACATCCGACGACGACTCGGAGACGGAGGACGACGAAGGCGGCGCATCAGCGTGACCTTGGACTACGACGTCCTAAACTCATCATAAGGTCATAAGGTAAGGTAAGGACGCTCAATTTCCTTGTCTATGATTGGTGGATTTTGCTTGAAAGGCCGTCAATGATTGGCTGATGAACTTACGATCTCTTAACTTTTTTTGAATGTATAGGCCCTGATCGTCGAGCACCACAACATAGCAGTGGTGTTGGTGATCCTGAATCTGCCAGACATCAAGTTAAGCTGCACGTAAGCCATCCCCTTCTGTTCAATGGAGCGAGTAAGAGCGAGCGTTGAGAAGACGTCTATAATTGAAGTGACTGATGCATTTTTAACAGAAATGACTCCGCTGGGAAGACTAGGGTCACGTGCCGCCAATCGTTTGACGGTGGCGAGGCGTAAAATATGGAGAAATGGTCGCTGCCAAGGAGCGTGAAGAGCAGCCACAGCATAGGAGAGAGCGAGCGGCCGTATCATCAGAGCAACATTTGGAGCGTTCAGTATTAGGAGCGAGCGGCCGTATCATCAGAGCAACATTTGGAGCGTTCAGTGTTAGGAGCGAGCGGCCGTATCATCAGAGCAACATTTGGAGCGTTCAGTGTTAGGAGCGAGCGGCCGTATCATCAGAGCAACATTTAGAGAGTTCAGTGTTAGGAGCGAGCGGCCGTATCATCAGAGCAACATTTGGAGCGTTCAGTGTTAGGAGCGAGCGGGCGTACCATCAGAGCAACATTTGGAGCGAGCGGCCGTATCATCAGAGCAACATTTGGAGCGTTCAGTGTTAGGAGCGAGCGGCTGCAGCATCAACGTAGAAGTCAGCGTAGAGGGGGCAGTGGGAAGTCGCCAGTCCTCCCCAGCCCCAGCCCTTGGGGATGGCCAGGTGACCGAGTCCCTCTCTCACGACGGCGCTGTTGCCTGCAACACAAACACATGTCATGCCCCAGGGCAATGAGGCGAAGCGAGCGTCGAAAGCAAGTGCAAAACAAGCGTGAGCAACATCGCAACGCATGTACGTTTAATAACTAAAACTATGACACCATTACCTCACTGCCAGAAGTTAGTAGGACATTTCTCCAGTGAGGCAAGGAGGACCGACCTGTATAGTAGTGGCGCGTGAGGGCTGGACTTGTCCAGATGTGGTCTGCAGCGAGGGGCGTAGCGGGCGATGAACAGAGCACCGTGCACACGTCCGCAGCCTGCACGCTGCAGTAGCCCAGGCTCTGCAGGGCCTTCAGGCCTGCCACGACAGATACGTTAGAGTAAATAAAAGGTACGTGAGAGTACACGAAAGACACGTGAACGTCTTACCCTCCGAGCCCTGATACGTGAACGTCTTACCCTCCGAGCCCCGACACGTGAACGTCTTACCCTCCGAGCCCCGACACGTGAACGTCTTACCCTCCGAGCCCTGACACGTGAACGTCTTACCCTCCGAGCCCTGACACGTGAACGCGCACAAAAGACAAGTAAGAGACAACGTCTTACCCTCCCACCATCTACATGAGTGAGCAACGACAGAGAGACTAGCAAATCACACCAATGACATGAGGAGAACGCACCGTCAAAAATTATTGTCACAATACATACCATTACGAGACCAAAAAAAAAAAAGAGAGAGAGATGCCGTTTAAAACAAAACAATGCAACACACAATTAAAAAGGTCCATGAACGAAAAGCTAACTAATCAATAAAATCTAGAGAAAAGTAGACTCATGAAAATGATCAGGAAAATAAGTTCCAACTTCAAAAGATTCCTCTGATGAGAAATTGCAACGATAATAGTGAGCGAAGTTTAATGAGATGCTAGTCTCCGTTGATAATTAAGTAGTTTATACGAGTTGATCGGTGATGCGTTACCAGCAGAGTCCGGCGGCGCCCCGATGTTGCCCAGCAGGATGACGGCGGAGTCGCGCAAGACGCTCTCCTGCAGGTCCCGCAGGACGGCAATCAGCGCATCCTGCAGCTGCTGCTCGCGAGCGTCACCGCTCCTGGTAAATTCCAGCCTCCTCTTGACACGACCATCTGTGTGCCCTTCGTCAGCAGCAACAGAAGTGTCATTACATGCAGCAGCAATAGCATTTCCTGCTTCATTTCCGTTATTGTTGCAGATGGAGCCATTCAAAGTTTCAGATTCAATGACACCTGCTTCATCAGCAGCAATATCCTTCCGGTCCTTGATGTACCCATTGTGTAGATTCTTGGCACTCTTCAGATCGTCCTGAGAATCTATTGAATTACGGCTATGATTATCACTAGAGCCACTGAAAGGACGTAGAAAATGGTCGCACGTTTGAAGAAATGACTCACATCGGTCGATGCAACTTTGCAGCTTGCCATGGAGGTTCACTACCGTAAATGTTAGTTCATGTGCACGGAAGCGACCCAAGTAAGGCTTGCTCACAAGCCCGTGCTTTCTTGAAGTTGTTTCCAAAAGCCAGTGCTCCTCGAGGTGAATGTACTTCTTGTTGAATAAGAATCCGACGTATTCATTAGACGCAGCGGATGTTCCGCGACGACTGCCGTAGCGGCTCACGGGTACAGGCGATACTTGGCACGCCCAGTCCCCTATTTCACCGGGCCACTCACGTACCCTGCGTAGAGATCCCGTGTTGAGTTCGTGGCAAATTTTGGGCAGTAGCTTGGCACCCAGAATATCTTGAACAGCAACCAGAGAAAATCCGCGCTCGAGAACCGTGCGACAAATCACCTCCATTACTCCGGGGTTGCTCAACTTGTCCGGAGTGAGTTGACACAGACTCCACGTGGCAACCCGCACAGCGCGCCGTCCGTTGTGAACGTTCTCGAAGAGACCATGTATCTCAGGTCGCTCAGATCTCAGGGACAAAAGCTCGTAAACGTCGGAGGTGAACTCCAGGGAGAGGCGGTGGCCCACGAGTCTAGGGGAGCAAGAAACGCTGTCGTCGGCCGCCTGCTCGATTACCTTGAGGACCTCGGCGTCGTTCAGGGCAGTCGGAGGAAGCACGATCATGGGCTTAGAATTTCCTGACGCTTGATTATTATTATTATTGTTTGTCGGTGCGGACAAGGTACGTCGGTGTCCAGGGTGCATGGCGCGTTGCATTTGTCGGTGCTGCGGACGTCGGTCTCCTGGAGTACGGCCACCGCCATTACCGATGGTCATGCCTGCAGAGGCTGCCGTCGCGGCGGCGCGACCGTCGTCGGAGTGGCCGTTGGTGAGAGCGGGGGTGCAGGAGGTCCCGGGGGAGTCGACCGTCAGGTGGGGCAGGATGTGACGACACGACCGCGTGCGAAGTCCTCTCACTTTCGAAACATCTTCAGCGGTCTTGAAAGGTCCTTTCTTCTCCCTGAACACATCAAATCAGCTCAATCTTTCACGTACAACTGAAAACATTTGTAATCACGGTGCTAGAGTGTCACCTATTATAGGCTAGCGGATCTTCTCAATTTAATAAAAGCCATGTTTTGAAACAAATATATGAGGAGAAAAAATTACTCTAATGCTAAAACTAGGTATAAGCAAAAAATAGCTTTTATAGTTTTTAAATGTGGGTTATCACCAGCGGTAAGGGACAATGGCACATCTGAAACTATAGGAGATCAGGAAACATTTTGAATTCCAAACATGTTGTAAGGAACTTTCGAAATTGGTAAAAACAGTATACTTGACATTATAAATTAATACACATCACATCAAAAATGCGCACTACTCATATAATAACAAAGTTTCAGAATAGGTGCCAGACATGACCATAATTGACGTGAAAATTTGATACACAAAAATGCGCACTAATAAAATAATAATAAAGTTTCAGAATAGGTGCCAGACATGACCATAATTACCTGTGATGCACAATCTGTGCGGCCATCTCCTGGTTGAGACCAGGCACGGACATTAGCTCAAAGATGGTGGCCGTGTTGAGATGAACCTTCTTGAAGGGCGTGCTCCTGGGGGTTGCTTGCAAGAGTACATCGGGTGGGGCAGTGGGGTTGACGGACGAGCAGGGACTGGCTGATTGTGGGGATGACAACTGGGAGCTGGGGAGCGACATTTCAGGAGGCTGCAAAGAGTATGGCAGCGGGGAGGCAGTGGGGAGAGGTGGGGAGGCAGTGGGGAGGAGTGGTGTGGCTGTCTCATGCGAGGGCTGTTGAGTCTTGCCTCCGTCACTGCACATATGAGATGATGGACATTAGATTCAGGAGAGAATTAATGAGGAATGATAGCTATAATAGGCTGGACAAGTTCGGTGACATTTTTTGCAAACGGGCAATGAAAAACTACATGCAACAATGTGCATGGTAAATTTAATAGACAATCTCAAAAAATAAAACAATTTGAGTAGAAATGGTGTGCTGGGGCAAATGAAATAAATCATGACCTTTAATAAATATATACATGGAACTTGAAGATATAAACTTTAGTCCTGCAACATTTGCAGTAAGAGCTTTATTAGCAAGTCTAAGCTTGTTTCTTCATATTGTGATCAAGAACTTCTTGTAATCAGTAGGTACCTATGCTTTGATTATGTTAAACTGAAAATAAAAATTTTAAATACTAAAGCAGTGAAACTGATTCAAAATAAATGAAAATTGTTGGCATTTAACTTCCTGTTGTCTCAGTCATAAAAATACTTACAAATTTTCCGATATTGTAAAATCGCGGCTGAGTTGAGCCAGTTTGGCAGCTCCAACACCCGACACCAGAGCCAGGTCCTGAAGGTTTCTGAAGCCCCCAATGACCGTCCTGTATTCAATGATGCTCTTGGCAACGGTGCGAGTGATGCCACTCACGGTCATCAGTTCCTCCTCTGTTGCTTGGTTCAAGTCCACCAACAGGCCCTGTCGATAGTGTAAATTTTACACTAACGTTACACTATAATTTACACTATAATTTAATTTAATAATTTATAATATAATTTAATAATTTATTATAATTTAATAATTTAATTAGTTACACTATAATTTACACTAACGACATGCCCTGTCAAACATTCATTAGAAATTTTAGCAATCCACATGAGATAGGGTACTTCATAGCAGATGATACTGACTGACCATCCATTCAGACACAAGTATAGAAGAGCTTGCATAAATTCAAGCTTAGTTGTCTTTTGCTCACACATATACACATGACAAGTGTACCTTACCAAGTTTTACAATGTCTTTAAAAAGGTAATATAGGAGGCAATTTTCTACTTGAAGAACTTTATAATATGAATATGGCTAAAATAGTTATGCAAAAAAGGCTAACATAATTACCTAACTTTCATTGACAATAGTCTCCTGATCCTTATATAATATCATATAATTTTATATACGTGTATATATATATACCGGTATATAATCATATATAACATAAGATCTGACAATCTAATGTTTCTCATTTTTTAGAGTATCATAGACAGCAGCTCAACATACATTGAATTTGGTGTAATTCAGTCAATATTATGATTCTATATAATTTGATTAATTGTGCCCCACATAATTATCCTGAATGATTAAAGGCCACATATTCAACACACAAGTACGTATATCATGTAAGCTACCAGCTTCAAATGACGTACTGCTATGCTAGTATTTAAACTTTAATGTGCTATGATAAAACTAATAATTAAGACAATCATATAAGTAAAGTAAAAAAGTTTAGGGGTATTTATGCTACATTATTTTATGTTCCAATTAACTTCCTGATAACACTAAAGCCACATGTGTTATGATACGTTACAATAATACCAGTAAAATATCCACAAATGGACCACAATTTAAGCCTTCATGAGCCACAGACCAGCTTAAAATTATTTATTATGAGAAAAAAAAATTTGCATGCTTTCCTTAGCAATCTGAACTTGACAAGGTTTTTGAAAACTTGCTTAAAAAACAGTTATTTATGTTTATTATTTCAAGAGTATAGATATAATTAAGCAGACTGCTAAGTCAAAATGAAATGAACACACTGACCTTGTTTTCTTGATCCAACAGATTGAAAGTTGCACTCAGATCATTGTTTTTTTGATGTTTCTTGAACTTAGCAGACAGCCAGGCTTTGCTTTTTCTTAATGACATCCGACGAGCAAACTGGCTGACCCGGCTGGCTTTGCTGGTCATACTGGCTGTCTCATACGTTGCAGTCAGTGATCTTGTATCACTCATGCAGCTCTCTCTTCCATCAGCAGCACTTGAGCTTGGCTTGCTTACATTGTTGTTGCTGGTTTCATTTTTGTTTATAGATACTCCTCTTGATAGAGAAGCTTCATTTTCAGGAGAAATAGGAATAGAAAAACTTTCTTGCACTGAAGACTGATTTTTGTTCATTTTGTTTGCATTTCAGTTTGGTTTACATATGTGATATAGGTACTTGCTCCTACTGACTGTCTGGATTCACATCAACAGTTTTGTTGGCACAAACATATTATGCCATGTGATAAATAAGATTAACTTCAAGTGTGTGTGAGAGAGAAGGTATATAACTTCAAACAACAATATATACAAATTAATCTGGTAAAAAACAATGACTTTTGCCCATCAATAGGAATTTTTATTAGGCACATAAATCTAAAATAAATTCAAGGGCTTATAGAAGTACAGGTGAGCCCTGAAGTGACTTATCTGTATATATAAACCTCCTTCCTACAACTAAACTTAAACTGAAAATTCATACAAAAAATGCCCATGAATATAGCCAATTTCATCCATTCCAATGGCCCTTTCTCATTTTCTTCAATAAAAAAATAAGAAATATACCATTTTTTCACATGCACTTTTTTTTAAATTACCCATGAATCACCATGTCCATGATCATTATTACCTGCAATTATAGGAAATTTTTGCCTGATATTACTGATGGGAATTACATCGCCTTACAAGTTGTCAGAAAGTCTGACAGATTGAGAAAAATATGTGACCCAGGTCCCAGAGCCAACATGCAAAAATTGTCAAAAATCAGGCATGTGGAGGTTGTGGTGGGTGGCAGCAGGCATGGAATATAGGTACCTATCTACTTGGCTGGCCATGACTGGATTTTTTGAGCTGTAGTTTTATGGGTTTACTGGCCGTGATTCTATTTCCTTGAGCTGTGATTCCATTTCTTTGAGCTGCGAATTCCATTTCTCTGCCATGAAAAGCCATTTATGAGTTGCAAACTTATTTACAAAGTCGCATCCACGTGTTACCCCAAATATCTAATTTTATCCTGAAAATGGTTTGGTTGTACAGCATCATTTAACATTTGTCTTCACTTAAGTGGCAACTAAACACGTGATAAAGCAGTCTGACTGCTCTGATATAACTGCAACTACACAATCTTCAAGGAAACCTTTTGTGTTGATGCGTTGTTATTATGTTCTGCAGAATATTTTGGCTGGAGCATTGAAGTTTTGTGGATTGTGGAAGTTGAAACTTTTATGAAACAACACTTTTGCAACGTGCAAATTGCAATTTTTTCAACCAAACAAAAATACATGACATTAGAGCTGCAAGATTTTATACCTACTGAAATTATATGATATTAATTATTAGAGCTACAATAATTCAGAAAAAAGTATGACTTTTCCTAACCTGAGTGACAGATTGACAGCCATTAAAATTTGACCATGCACAGCCACAGCCTACCATGCTGATACTGACCAGTTTCTGCATCCCTCAGTCAGATTGGTAACTTATTCAGTTAGTAACAGTTAGAAAAGTCTAATTAGTATAGGTTGGCAGAATTTCTTCTTTCAAGCAGGTTTCATTGCGAATAAAACAAATTCTCTGGTCTTCAATGAAACCTGCTTGAAAAAAGTCTAATTATAGACTAATTAATAGCTGTTGATGAGATGCCAATATGTCAAGATAAAGGGTCTGGCTTGAGTGGCTTCCATTTTCCAAAATCCAATCCCAAGTGCCAACCAGGCTGAGGCATGGAATATATCTACTAGGCTAGCCGCGACTTAATTTTTTGAGCCGTGCTTTTATGGATTTGCCAGCCATGATTCCATTTATTTGAGCCACAATTCCATTTCTTTGAGCCATGATACCATTTCTTCAAGCCGTGAATTCCATATCTTGGCCATGGAAAGCCATAAAAAGACACTAATGTATTTACAAGGTTTGTCACTGTTGGTGCAAGCACGGAAAACTTCTACCATTAGGGCTGCAAGCCTGCAACTAGAGCTTTCCCGCTATTTCCAGAACCATGCAATTTCCACCAGATGATGAATTAACTCCTATCTATTTGCTAACAAAAGTGCAGGATTCAGGATTGGGCTGCAAGATTCCAAATGTATTGAAAAATAGTCCCATTTGAGCTGCAAGATTTCAGAAACAAGCAAGAAAATTTCAATCCTATGTCCATGCACATATTATCCCAAATATCTAATTTTACCCTAAAACAGTCAAACAGCAAAACTAACATTTGGCTTCACTCAAGTGGCAACTGAACACAAGATAATGCCATCTGACCACTCTATCGTGACTGCAGCTATGTGATCTTCAAGGAAACATTTTGGGTTGACTTGTTGTTATTATGTTTTGCAGCCTTGCAGAATATTTTTGCAGGAAGTTGGGAACCCTGAAGTAATGCAGATTGCACCATAATTGTGGAAGTTCAAAATTTTATGAAACAACATGATTGCAAAGTTGCAAACCAAGATTTATCAATCTAACAAAAATACAAGACATTTAACATTAGAGCCATGAGATTTCATACCTACTGAAATTCTATGATATTAGAGCCAGGACATTTCAGCAAAAAGTAGGACTTTTCCAGCCCTGGACTGTGTTAACATGGCATACTAATATTCCTAGATGTTTTCTCTAATTAAACATGTTGAGGCTGGACTCCAGGCTTGGAATAGGTATATCTACTTGGTGAGCCGCAACTGAATTTTTCGAGCCGTGATTTTCTGGATTTGCCAGCCGTGATTCCATTTCTTCGAGCCGTGATTCCATTTCACCAAGCCGTGAATTCCATATCTCAGCCATGAAAAGCCATTAACAAGGCGCAAATTTATTTAAAAAGTTCATGCATGTGTTATCCCAAATCTCTAATTTTACCCTAAATTACAGTGTGGAATTCTAGAGGGATATTAAATTAACCAGTACACATAGCATATTGGAAAGCAGGACCTGAAAGCTTGGAAAGGCCAGGAACTTTACACTTTCAGTCAATTATGTGTACATATCCTATCCCTTTCCAGTTTCCAGAATTCCAGCTGTGATTGATTGATAAGATTGTGATTTTAGCGCCTTTCAGCTTTCCAGCTGTGATTGGTTAATGGAATTGTAATAATATTTTGCTTTCTAGCTGTGATTGGTTGATGGGGATGCTTTCAAGCTGTGATTGGTTGATGGGGATGCTTTCAAGCTGTGATTGGTTGATGGGGACGCTTTCAAGCTGTGATTGGTTGTGTCCATAAGCCCCACCCCCAAATATGGTATATGTGCTACAGTACTGGTTAACTAAATACTTAACTTAAACTTGATTATTATGAACAAAGGGCCTGGAAAATGTTAAAAAAATCCATTAAATAAAATAAAAATAAAAATATCTATCAAACAAGAGACATCCAAATTATTCTATAACAAACCTGATGACGATGTACTATACAATTGAAACAGTTTGTCCACTTATGATCCATCTTTACATTTATAGTCAGTAGGCTAACATGGCAGAGCACTGTATCAAAGGAAAGCTTTTCACCTTGGGTGGAAAGTTTTTTTATAAGTGAACTTCCATTTTTAGGATTCCAGCCTGCCCTAAAACAGTCAAAGGCAACAATACAAAGGCCAACATAGGCCAAACAACAACAAAGGCCAAGCATAGCAGCTGAAGAAGTGGCAACATTGATTGAGTCAAAAACAAACGAAATGGAGGATAGGGATCGCAGGAAGACTAATATACTCATCTTTGGAATGAAGGAGGAGAAGGAGAGGTTGGCAGATCTGAGAAAACGAGAAGATGATAAAAAAGTACTCAAAGTGCTGCAGTTGATCAAATCTGAACACAAACCTATTGACCAGAGAAGGCTTGGTAATTACTCAGAGGAGAGTGGAAAGATTAGGCCGCTGCAACTGACTTTCAGTTCTTTAGCGGTGAGAGACGGGGTCCTGACCGCTTTCCACAAGGCAAAGAAACTAGTCGCTCAAGAGCAAGGGGAAAATGTGAACATTGAGCTGACCCGCGTAGCCATGCGCAAAGACCTGACCAAAAGGAGAGAGAAGAAGAGGCTTGTCTCTATCAGGAACTGCAGAAAAGGCGACAGGGAGCGCAGCAAGCGGGGGACCAGAGAGCCCACTGGATTCGACAAAGAGGCAAAATTGTGAACATCGGAGTATACCCAGGGACGCGAGGCGCCGAGGGACAGGACACGTAGATGACAGCAAGGCTGTACATAGTTTTAATGGGGGCAACGGAAATGAGCATGTTCATTTTAAAGATAAAGGTTTTTCACCTGAAAGTTATAAGTCTGATTTTAAGCCTGGTCTAAAACGGCAAGAAAGGAGTGTGAATGACAGTTGCAAGTGCATGTACACTAACGCTGATCAACTACTGAACAAAAGAAGCGAACTTCAAGCCATGTGCTTGGAACACCGCCGGCTGAGGGGCGATATGATTGAGGTTTATAAATACCTACATGGCTACTATGATGTCTCACGCCCAAGTTTTGCGATGGCGACAGCGAGAGACCTCCGCGGAAATTCTCTAAAAATCCAAAAGAGCCACTTCAGACTGAACATTAGAGGTAACTTTTTCTCTCAGCGCATTGTCACAAACTGGAACAGCTTGCCAGAGAATGTCGTCAAAGCACCATCTGTGGATACTTTCAAGAGTCGCCTCGATAAACATTGACTTCATCTGCCTACTCTCTATGCTCCATCATGCCAGAACTAGACACTAACTTTTTTTTGCAACCCAGCCGCCCCCGAATTTTGCTAATATTACAAAGTTAGTATAGTCTCGGAGAGACGAACAGGTCTCTGAGAAAGGCCTCAAGCGTCTAACTTGTCAAGTCAAGTCAAGTCAATAAAATTTGTCTTTACTGTAAGTTGAGCACGTGTTAATGCAGTCTGAGACTCTGAGTCTGACTGCTTTGACATGACCGCAACTATGCGCAATCTTCAACAAAACGTAGCTAGTTGATTTGTTTACATTACGATGTTCATGTTTTTTCTGCAGGAAAAATTGACGGGAAAGGTAAAGCAATGCGTATTGTGCAAGTTGAAAATTTTATGAAATGACACATTTGCTAAGTGCAAACTGCACTTTTTCAATCAAACAAAAATTTATGACACTCAAGTCACAACTTCGCAAGATTTTATACCTACTGAAATTATATGATATTAGAGCCGCGATATTTCAGACAAAAATAGGACTTTTCCAGCCTTGCTGGACTACCAAGTCTCAACCACTTGGTTTTCCAGACTTCATTCTCTAACTCTAAGACTATGAGCTTGTAAAAAAAATAATAAGAAATAGAAAACAAATACCAATAAAGAAAAAAATACTAATTAGGAAAGGC